GTACTGAAGCTGGATCTTGGTCATACCAATGATGCTGAAATTGTGAAGAACACATTTATTTTCAATTGTTTGCTCTTCTGCCTGGTAATGTTGGAACTCTCCCAATCCTTTGATCACTAGCGCTCACCTCAGAATAAGTTGATCATTTCTGTCGTCTGCAGGTTATTAATGAGGTTGAAATCCCAAAGAGACACCAAACCTTGAAAGAAGTTCTTAGAGCCAATGTGTTTGTCGTTACAATAACCGCAACTATCATAGTTCATGTAAGTCCGTTGTAAAAGTAAACACATCACTTATCTTCTTTTTGATATCCCTATATCCTCATTTTTGTTCAATGTGAATCAGATAATCTTGGTAGCGCTCTCTGGAATTTCCAATCCTGATGTTAGGTTTGACTGGGAAAAATGGGTCATCTCCATCCTTGTGGGATTTATCACCCAGCTCGCCACGACTCGCTTACTTTAGGGACCGTATGAATACATGGATGGATGATATCTGGAACCAGCGGCCCACAACGTCTCTATCTTTGATTTCTCCATTATTTGCCCTCATAAACAACGTATACTTTCTAGTTTCAGTATCTCTGCTCTATTCGAACTTTGTAGACTTAAGCTAACGGTTTTTAATTTGGGATTACACTTTTATATACTTTCGTTTCTTTTCAGTTGGATTTTTATGTATTAGGGGTTGTGGTTAGTTTCTTCTTTTCTTTTTGCCAAATATGCAGTAACTTGGATGTGAATTTCGAAACGGAAGAACATGCTTTCATTGCTTACACATCATTGTCTGTTGATAAAGAGGCTTGAAAAATATCTCAATTCACTACCAAACATATAAACAAACTCTAACAAAAAAAAAAAGCTGGATGTTTTATATTTTTCATTTCACTCATGTTATATGTGAGAAGAGCCATGTCAGTAACAAATAACAAGCTTTCTGTGTGCATATTTAAAGTCTAATAGATTTTGATCTGTGCTTTGCAATCACGGAATATTTTATGATAATTTTTTATTAATAATTAATAGATAATTTGTTAATTTGAAAGAATTGTGTATTTAAAATATTTTTGTTTTTAAATCAGTGTTTTAAAATTCAACTCAAATCCATGGTTTAACTGGTTAATCTAGTGATCCAATAATTCGATTTAGATTTTTAAAAGTATCCATATTTAAAATCACTAAAACCCGAGACTAACCGATTGAATCGATGGATAACCAATATGTAATATTTAAACCTTTAAAAATAAATTCTGTTTATTTTTCGTTGTTTTTAAATATTTAATTTATCTAAATAATTTGAAAGAAAATTTGTATAAATTATTAAAAAGATGTGATCTAATATTTTGTATTGTTTGGACATAAGATTAATTATTGGACCTAATTTTTATTTTATAAATTTTTAAAGAAAATAGTCTATTGTTTGGAAACATGGATAATAGTATTAAAAAAAGAATATTAGTGATTTAATGTAGGTTAAACAACTATAAAGTAAAAAAAAAAATATTTTCTTTAAAAATTTATAAAATAAAAATTAGGTCCAATACAATATTTCTAATTTAATAAGATATATTTTGTTGACGTTCTTAAGCTGGCCACAAGAACCCTTCAAGAATTTGGGAAAAATGTGTGATTCTTTCTAATTGCAAAACATAAACTAGCTAGTGTTTTTATGGTTATAGATTTTTTTTAGCGAGAATCTTTTTGAGTACCAAAAAAATTAACATGAAAAATGGGCGAACACAAGATCAATCATCATAAAATGAGAATTAATTGGCCTGATCAAGACCTTACTTTTACAGAATTACATGAAAGAAAAACAAACACAGTTTAATTGTTTGTGATATATGTTAGAGAGTTATCTGATGAACAAATTGTTAAATGTTGTAGGTAGGCACGTATTAGAGTTGGAGGAAACATGGCAGGATCGAGCAGAGAGGACAGTGAGAAGGAGCGACTGTGAGTTCCAGCTAGTTGGGGAAACAACAGAAGAGTATTACGGGGTTGACAATAGATTACGATATCGCAAGAAACTAGAACATTGCTTACAAGAGCATCCAGTACGATCCTACTTCAATCTTAGCCTCTGATCCGAGGCTGTACTCAAGACGTTTCCGTGATTATCTTCAAGGTCTTCACTGAGAACGATTGAGACAAGTCTCCTCTCCTTTGTTTCTGGCCTCCTCAAGTTTTCTTGTGGGTCAAGAAACAAAGGCTTAGGACTATATATGTACAACAATTATCTGAATTAATCACCTCAACGAATTTTCACATTTCTCGTATAAGTACAACATCCTTTCACTTAACTCTTCGCAATTCATTTTTGTAATGATCATCCATAATTTCTAGGAAAACAACATATTGATACATCTGCACAATCCAACGGTTCTAATCAGTACATACACATAAACTATGCAAATTAATACACCAACAATAAGTTATTTCAAATTTCCGTACATGAATTAACATATTTCGGCTTTATCATACATAGTCCTACATTGTGTAGTCAAAAATAACATAAGCTGACATTTCTGTTACATAATGCTTACTTAGCAATTAGAAAGTGTTATGTGCCATTACAGTCACACTTTAATTACAAAAAAAAAAATGTGCAGAGGAAAAGAAAACAAAGCAGGCGTGAAGAATTGCCGTCTGTGCGGACTATTGTTTCAAACCTTTTGATTAGGAATAAATAAATTTCAAACTTTTAAAAATGTGTGAACTTTTGTTAGATGATACTTCAGATGGGAAAACATAAAGATTTCCAAAAAAATTAAAGAATAATAATATCTCACGCACTTATTCACTCAGAGAACAACAAAGCCTGCGACGTGCCAAATGCTATGGGGATGCCTCAAGACTTTACCTGAAATGAGAATTGTAAGTAGAGAGAAGTTACTTGTCAAAAATAAAGTAAGATATTTGTGTTATAAATTAGAAGATTAGGGAATGAATATGGTTCTTACGGATAAAAATAATCAGTTCCGGTGGTACGGGTGAGCTTCCAAAGGGAAGCGAGTTGCTACCTGGCTGAGAAATCCCAAAACGACGGAGATGAGCCATTTTTTCAAGTCAAGCCTAAGCGCAGAAATGAATATTCCAAGGAACTCTATAAAGATTAACTGATACACAAAGAACAAAAGGAAAAAAAAAACAAAGTATAATATGGTTAGTAAATGAGTAAAAGAGAAATTAATGTTGTGTTCACTTGTAGATATGGGCTTACCTGCAAAATAATGGTTGACGTTATAATAATGACAAACATATTGTCTCTGAGGATTTCTTTCAAGGGTTGGTTTCCATTTCGGATTTCAAACTCGTTGAAAACCTGCATTTATATTTTTAATTGGTTGGGTGAAAGAAAGAGATACAAATGTAGAAGAAGACATAAATTATCAACTTATTCTCAGATGAGTATAGTTAAAAGTGTGGGAGAAATCGAATATTACCAGGCAGAAGACCAAAGAATTAAATATAAATGTGTTCTTCACTTTTTCAGAATCACCAGTTTGACCATGATCCAGCTTCAATAGACTATCAGAATGTATGAAGGCCAGCAACAACACTACGTAAATCACCTGAATGAAGGAAGCATTATTTAGAGGTCTCCAAGTTTTTTTGTTTGTTGCAAATCTAAATTATTATGGCCAAGGTATTGTGTTTATTTGCTCTCTGGAAACTATGTAGTAAAAGACTTTTTCGGACAATAGTGTTCACACATGACAAATCAAAGAGTTTTCAGGGGACTTACCTGCATCACCATCTTGGTCCACATCGTCTTGGTTAGAAGATGGTCACTGCAAAAAAAATAAAACAAACGAAAAACGTATACACATAAATGATATCAGTTTACGAGTATATTTCCTAGACAACCTCTTTTTTTTTTGTCAACCACTTATTAATCAATTCTAATATCCTGATAGTATTCAGATTTTGTGTACCTTATACCCACTGGTGGCTTTCCCATTAGCTTGCGAGCTGGCGGTCTGTAAGCCAACGATAGTGCACCAACGATGTCAACAGTAAGATTAACCAACAAAAGCTGCACCAGGGGGACAAAGCAAAGCAAAGGACAAAGGTTTCAGTCGTGGAACTACAGGATTACAAGAAGATGATATAAAAAGGGGATAATATTTTCGAACCTGCGCCACATTAAGTGGAAATGCATCATGAAATACAACCTCGATCACACAGATGGCCACGGCTGATACACTCACAGTGAGCCGGAATAGAACATATCTCTGGATATTGGTGTATATATAGCGACACCATTGGATAACCTGCATATTATCCCAATAGAAAAAAAAAAGAGAGAGAATTGTGACAAAATGATTTAAATGAAATCTCACTGCCAAAAAGTCAAAGGTTTGTTCTCTTTTGTTGCATGCATTCTATAAAACAAACCTTGACAATAGTAGCAAACCTGTCATCCAGTATAATAATATCGGAATTGTCTTTGGCTGCTGCGGTCCCTCCGATTCCCATTGCAATGCTAACATCCGCCTACGCAAAGAAAACAGTAACCGTGGGTTGTAGTCTTGTAGATATGTCTTTTTGAGTGTTGATATGATAATAACGACATACCGCTGATAGTGTCTTTGGATCATGTATTCCTATCCCAGTGGCTGCAACTACATGCCCCCTTCTCTTCAATGCTTCGACAAGCCGAAGGTTGTCTATAGGAGAAGATTGAGCAAAAACCTTCACAATAGAGTAGAGTAGTATGTTAATTAATTTTTTTGGCTCAATTTTTGGTTCAATCCAATTCCAGTACAACAAGTTAACTTTGCAAAGTTTGACAATATCATAACTCAGACTAAATCTAATTATATTATCCCGTGATTCCATTCATAAATGTTTCATCAGATACACATATGTATATATTAAAGCAAAATAGAGAAGAATGTATCATACTAAGATGTCTCCGGAGATGTGCTCTCTTTCTTGATCAGTTAGTTCACAAAACTGAGCTGCTGTTCTTATATTCTGGCCAGATGTATCCCTTAGTATCCCACATTCCATTGCTATTGCTTGTGCAGTCAAAACGTCATCCTCCGTCACCATGCAAACCTGAAAGTCCACATCCTCCATTTAGAAAACAGTCAGATTAACAAAAAAAAAAAATCTTAAATCTTAATTGCTTAGAGGGAACCAAAATTTAGGACGAGAAGAACGGTGAAACAGGCACCTTGATACCTCCAGAATTGCACAACTGGACCGCATCCCTTGTGCCTGGCCGGCATGGATCCTGCACGTTATTCAATACATTGGACACGATAAGTAATGATAATAATAAGACTTCATAGCCTTTGAATCAATTGGAAATTAACAAGTACCAATTCTCATTGATAACAAACTTGAAGTTCGAAAATAGTGCTGGAAATATTACCTTTATACCAATAATAGCCAACAAAACAAGGTCCTGAGGTAGTGTAGAAAATTCTTCCTCAGTCGTTGGAAGACTTCCCAATTCATAGGACTGATAAGCAAGTGCAGCACAACGCATTCCTCTCATACACATGTGTCCAATTATTCCTTCCATCTCCTAAGGAGAGAATAGACTCATATAAATTAAATAAAACTATGGCACAAGTGAATTAGTAATATATGCTCATGAACAAACTACCCGTTTCTGTTCACCAATATCTATGCGGTTGTTGGCACCATCCAGATACCATTTGCATGAGTTAAGAATAACTTTTGCAGATCCTTTCCAATGAACATGGTATCCTGTACCAACCTATAAATGAATAAATATGAAGAAAACAACTGTATAAGAATAAAACATAACACAACTATATGTGTCAAGTGAAAACAGAGATATATATGCTCAGCAAAACAAAGAAAAGGTTATGTAACCTGTAATGCCACGCCTCTGTATTTCTTTTCTGGAATGAATGGTATAACATGAATGACTGCTGATCCTGACCTAGCCTCATCAAACTTCATTCCCAACTACAAACATATGTCACTAATAGTCATTAGTTATAAACTTAATAGCAAGTAGTAACGTAAGATTAGAAAGATACAAAACCTTATTCCCCCAGCTAAGAATGGCTTGTTCTGTTTGTGATCCATAGATCTCTGGCTCAGTGACGCCCTATAATTAATTAATTATGAACTTGGTAAGAATAGTTCATATACAAATTAATCCTACTAGAGAAACTAATCAAATAGTTTCTGTCTAGCTAAACACCGTGACCTAGGACACAGTTACCGTTTCAAAAACAACACTGCCATTTGTGTTTTGGGCAATGCCTTCTATTATTAGTTCTGTAGGAATCGACGGAAACTGTGAAACATCATCCATGTCTTGCATTCTTATTCCTCCAGCCCAGGCATCAACCACTGACATCTGCTTAGCATTAAATAAATGCTTAGATAATTACCCAAGAAGTATAAGAGGAAGCCGGAAATAGCTTTATCCACATAAACGAAAATACTTGCCTTGTTCAAAGTTAAAATTCCAGTTTTATGACACAATATGGTTGTAACATATCCCATTCTTTCACATGCAGAAAGTTTTTGAACCTGAAAGACATTTATGGAAGTTTAGCACATGTTGATCCTCTAACGACTGTGAAGAGTTTTGAATACAAAGGTAGAGTACCAAAGCTTTGTCTGTCATCATTATTCTTGTAGTATATGCAAGGCTGGTGTAGTGACGAAAATGATAAGATGAGAAACAAGAAGATGTTACTGCCATGATACTGCAATGACAAAACTAGAAGTATGCATACCTAAGGATATGCTTCTCTTCTAGTATGTATTTTTATTTAAGAAAATTATGAAAAGGAAAGGAGTCTTACTTCAAGAGAACAGCTATAAAAAGTCCAACTGGCATCGCCACCATTATTGTTCCCATCTGCAAAAGTAATATTGTGGCGACAAGGTACACAAAATTACCATTACTATAGGTCTATGCCACATACCCCAAAACTCAGGGATTTGAACAAAAATTCCATTGTTTCATCAGAAGTGGTACTTCCGGGCATATACAATGGAGTTCCATCTGGGTTTTTGGTCCGACCATAAAAGTATCTGGAATTAAAAAAAAAAGGATCGTTAGGTCCTCACTATAGCTAGAGAACTTAATTAGAACTGAAAGCAGAAATAAGGCCGGTGAGTACATCGTAAAGAAAGACAGACTTACTGGCATAAATGAACAATACAGGCAACTGAAGCGAGCCAAATGACAAACCAGCTAGCAAAAATAGCGAGCCGTTTCACGTATACCTAGTAAAAAATTCCGCAGGTGGTAAGTGCACAAACTATCGAAGGTAAGTGCACAAAAATTCCACAGACCTGAAAGGGCTTTTCTTCATCTGTCTCAGGTTGTGTCTCGATCTTTTCCCCCCATTCAGTGTTTATTCCAACACTTGTAACCTTAAGTACAAAGAAAGCAATCACGGGCTTCAAATCTTCGCTTTGATAAAGAAGAAAAACATTTTTTTCCAACCAAGAAAATCCAGAGTTTGAATTTAAGTATGATAGAACAGGGTTCAGAATAATTGGCAGCACTAGCGTAGGATTTAGAATAAAAGGGCAGACATAGTCACATAAATGCCATAATCATAAACTTCCATACAAAAAGCCACAGAAATTGCAAATGCACATAGAAGAAGTGGCTAGAGAGCTTACTAGCATTGTACCTATGCCCTCTATCACTTTGGAACCAGACAGTAAAAAAGGATCCTGTAGAAGATCTTTTTGAACCTGAAAATTGAAAAGGGTGATTAGAAATACATGAAAAAGGAAAGGGTTTAGCGCATTAACACCGGTAAATAATACAATCAAGTGTGAGCCTGTTATTTCTTGTTCGTCAATCTTCAGTGAGTTTGCAACGAACAGGACACCATCTGCAGGTACCTGCAGCATTTGTCATGATTTTAGAAAACTGAAGCGTGAAGTTCGAGAAAAAAAAAGCAAATACAACTTGATTACTACTATTAAGGCCATGTTCCTTTATGATGTTGGATGCAAATGTTCACACGATGTTCGCTTAAACACTATTGTATCAGCTTCTGGATGCATCTATATTGATGCAAAATCTACAACATCTAGAAAATTCAAAGAAAAGAGTTTAATGCAGCATTTATACCTCAAAATCCGAAACACTTAGGTACCCATTCAATACAATATAAAAATAACTAATTTATAATTACTATTAATATTATTAGATACATATATATATTAAACCTTCAAATCATGCTTTCTCATCAAGATTATAAAATTAAAGTTTCTCACAAAAATTGTAAAACAAGATTTTCGTCAAAATCATGAAATCAAAATTTTCTACCAAAATCGTAAAATGAGATTTTTTTTGGCAAAACCATTCAAGTTGTTTTGCTGCAAAGAAAGAAAAAATAATTTCTGCAAAAACCGTTACATATAGTTTTCTCACAAAAACTTCAAAATTAGGGTTTTCCCCAAAAAATCGAAATCCTATTTTCAGCCAAAATATCAAAATAAAATTTCCACAAAAATTACAAAACCAAATTTCCCATCAAAACCAAAAAAAATAATCATTTTTTTTTTGCAAAAATAAAAGTTAAATTTTATTTTTCGCCAAAAATGAAAAATTGATATTCCCGTTAAACGAGTAAAATTATATTTTCTGTCAAAACCACCCAATAATGTCTTTCGTTAAACCTGCAAAATTAAGGGTTTTCGTCAAACCTGCAAAATTGAAGATTCTCATCAAACCTGCAAAATTGAGATTTTCTGTCAAACCTGCAAAATTAGGATGTTTCGCCAAATTCGAATAAAAAAATTCCACTAAAACTAGAAAATATTTTTTTTTCACCAAAATCACAAAATCAAGTTTTTTTTTCCAAACTCACAAAAATTATCATTTCACCAAAACTCGAAAATCAAAATTTTAACGAAAACCACAATTCAATTTGTTCAACAAAACGCCAAAACTGAAAATTCAGTTCTCACGCTAAACCCGTAGATTCACATTTTGCCAAAATTGTAAAACTAAATTTCCTAAAATCAGATTCTCCAAAAAAATATTTAAGTATAATAACTATTATGTTATAAATATTTAGACATATTTATTCAAATATAATAAGTCATTAATTATTAATTGTATGATCATGACTTTATAATTATTTAACCGATAATATCTTAATGCTATTATAAAATCAAAAACAACAACTTAACATTTGATATTGTATCTAGATGCAAATACAAATTATAAAACAAATATTCATATGATATATTTAAATGCTGTAATTAAATACAAAAATGAACATGGCCTAAATGTGTGATGCTT